ACGCTCAGCAATGTGGGAATAGAATATTATCTCGACATAATAAAGGCCATATATGAAAGACCTACAGCCAACATCATACTCAATGGGCAGAAACTAAAAGCATTTTCCTTAAGAACAGGAACAAGACAGGGATGCCCACTTTCACCACTCTTATTTAACATAGTACTGGAAGTCTTAGCCACAGCAATCAGACAAGAAGAAAAAATAAAAGGGATCCAAATTGGAAAGGAGGAATTGAAACTGTTATTATTTGCAGATGACCTGATATTATACGTAGAAAACCCCAAAGACTCCATCAAAAATCTACTAGACTTAATAAATGCATTTGGCAAAGTAGCTGGATACAAAATTAACATCAAGAAATCGAGGGCATTCTTATACACCAATGATGAACTCACAGAAAGAGAAACTGAAAAAACAATCCCATTTACCATCACAGCAAAAAAATTAAGATCCCTAGGAATAAACTTAACCAAAGAAGTTAAGGACCTATTTGCAGAAAACTACAGGACATTGAAAAAAGAAATAGAGGAAGACATAAAAAAGTAGAAGCACATACCATGTTCATGGATTGGAAGAATTAACATCATTAAAATGTCCATATTACCCAAAACAATCTATAGATTCAATGCAATCCCCATCTAAATACCAACATACTTCACAGAACTAGAACAAATACCTCAAAAGTTCATATGGAACCAAAAAAGACCCCAAATAGCCACAGCAATCTTGAAAAAGAAGAACAAAGTAGGTGGGATCACAATACCAGATATCAGGTTATACTACAAAGCTACTATAATCAAAACAGCCTGGTACTGGCACAACAACAGGCATGTAGACCAGTGGAACAGAACAGAGAACCCAGGAATGGACCCAAAACACTATGCTCAATTAAAATTTGATAAAGGAGGCAAGAGCATACAATGGAGTAAAGACAGCCTCTTTAATAAAAGGTGTTGGGAAAATTGAACAGCTAAATGCAAAAAAAAAAAAAAAAATGAAGCTAGACCATCAACTTACACCATACACATAAATAAACTCAAAATGGATAAAAGACTTAAATGTGACCCGTGAATCCATAAAAATTCTAGAAGAAAATGTAGGCAACAACATTTCGGACATCATACGCAGCAGAATTTTCACTGATACATCACCTAAGGCAACAAAAGCAAAGGAAAAAATGAACACATGGGACTACATCAAACTAAAAAGCTTCTGCACCATAAAAGAAATAACCATCAAAATGGAAAAGCAACCCATGGTATGGGAGAGCATCATTGCCAATGAAACATCAGATAAGGGGTTAATTTCCAAAATATATAGAGTACTCGTACAACTCAAGAAAAGGAAGACAAAAAACCCAATTAAAAAATGGGCAGAGGAGCTGAATAGACACCTCTCCAAACAGGACATACAAATGGCCAGGAGACATATGAAGAAATGCTCAACATCACTAACCATCAGAATGATGCAAATTAAAACAACAATGAGGTATCACCGCACACCTGTCAGAATGGCCTCCATCAACAAATCATCAAACAAGTGTTGGCAAGGGTGTGGAGAAAAGGGCACTCTCGTACGCTGCTGGTGGGCATGCAGACTGGTATAGCCACTATGGAGAACAATATGGTGTTACCTGAAAACATTAAAAATTGAACTTCCATTTGACCCAGTGATCCCACTTCTAGGAATAAAGCGTAAGAAGCCTCAAACACCAATCAGAAAGAATATATGTACCCCCGTGTTTGTAGCAGCACTATTTACAATAGCTAAGATCTGGAAACAGCTCAAGTGTCCAGCAGTAGACGAATGGATAAAAACACTGTGGTACTTATACACAATGGAGTACTATGCAGCTGTAAGGAAGAAAGATCTCTTATCCTTTGAGACGACATGGAGGGACCTGGAAAGTATTATCCTAGGCAAAACAAGCCAAGCAGAAAAAGACAAATACCACATGATCTTACTTATTTGTGGAATATAATGAACATAACACTCTGAGGTATTGGGTAGACCCAGAGACGTGGAAGTAGGGTACAGACTAACAACTCTCAGTATGGTGGTGGGGGGAGGGAAGAGGTAAACCACAGAACTTATATGCATATATGCATAACCAATGGACATGGACAACAAAGCTGGGGATGGGGTGGGGGGGATGGGGAGGAGGGTGTCAATGGGGTAAAAAAGGAGAAACATCTGTAATAAAAATAAAATTTAAATAAAAGTGACCAGAAAAAGAACAAACAAACAAGAAGCTCACTTCCACCAGCAACAACTGGGGACACAGACAGCACCCCACCGATAACAATTCTACACCCACTTGAATTCAACCAGGCTGTTATAGTAACTGCAGCCCATCCTAAGTCTCTCTGTCTTCTCAGATTTCACCTCTGAAGTACAACAAAAACAGTGGCACACGTGTTTAGAGCTCCGGTTATCCCTCTTACACCACCTTGTGCGAGCTGATGCTGAATGAAGCAGCGTCCAGTGGATTCCCCTCAGAACGCCCCAAGCCTGCTTTTCTGTGGGGAGTTACCCGTTTGCACGGTGTGTTCTGCAGCTCTTACTGTCCAGCTGTGTCCTCCTTGTTCTGTGAACTTCTCTCTAGCATGGGAGGCCATTAACAGCCTGTCAGTCTGTCCTGTGCACTGAGAAGAGAACCACTTCCAGGCCCGCTGCGGCCCAAAGGGTGCTCCCCAGCTGCACTGCACCATGAGTTCTGCAAACACATCCCTTCCCACTAAAAGACATATTCCAGCTTAGAGCCGTGGTGGCTACAGCTTGTTCTGTAATCTTTTCTTATCCTTTAATTATGGGATATATTGTGTCTTATCCTAGAGCACCAACTAGTTCTGCCTGAGAATGTTTGGAAGAATTTGCCAGAAGAGATGACATTTCTTAAGTGATTTTTTTTCCCCTACAAAGACTCACAGCTTGTGAACTCAAAACTTACCAACATTGCTCTTTCAAACTGATATCAACTAAATATGCGGTTTGGTTGTCTTCTAGTAAAAGTGATGGTGTTTTATAAATGTGTCCAAGTGTCTGGCCCCCAGGGACTCTGTAGGAACACATGTGTGAGACCATGAGCCAGAAGGAAGGACAGAACGCATGAACGCCAATGGAAGATTGGATTGATTAAATGGTGCCATGGTTTCATCACCTGGAAGAACTAGCCACATCATCCCTGCTCTCAGTAGCAGGGAATAAGGCATTACTGAACACTGAGTTTCTAGATATCATCAGTGAAAACTACCACCCTGTGTTGTGATGGGCACTACACAGTGGTTCTCTAAATAGATGCCAACTTCTTCCATCATGGTCACCATGAGAATTATTTAGATGTTGGAAGCTGGGCTTGTTGAAGGCCACTATCAACCAAAAACCAATGGCCATGCGAGTCCCAAGTTCTCAAGTTCTCTGTCAATAGTCTAAATCCATCATTTACACACTGTGGGCCGATATGTGTCTAACACCCGGGTTCCAGATCATTTCAGTGGTTTTATGTCAATTGAACTTCAACTCAGTCCTCCCTTTTCTCCAACCCTGACTTGTTCTCGCCTTGCCTTCAGTATGCACCGTGCCCGCCCATTACGAATCTGTCCCATACCCTGTGCTCCCCCAAACGATCCCCTCTCTAATCAACCACTCCCTCTGAAAAGAAATAACCTAGGAGATACATAATTGTTCTTAGAACTAGCAAAACAGAGCTACTATTAATCAAACGTGTGCTGTGGGCCAAACACTTTTACAGGTCTTTCTGTCTGTGGTATCTAATCTAATTCTCATGAAAGCCTGTGAAATGTGCGCTGTTATTCGGATTTACAGATGAGAAAACCGATGCTCAGAAAGTCAGAGAAGGTCTTCAGGAGGAGGTGGAGAAAGCGGTTTCAGAATGTCTTTTAAATGAACAAATTGAGAGCTTCCAAAGGCATTTCCCCCCCAGTTCCCAGTCTGTTTTTTCACTGTCCCCTGAATATGTCTGGTTGATGCCCTTGGTGGAAGGAACCCTGGGTTTGCCCTTGGTCACCACTTTCAGTGACACCTGTTTCTTTCCAAGTGCAACCCCTTCACTTAGGAAAGGTACTTTCAAATGAAGGTGCCAGGGTTGGGTGTTCTTGCTGACACTGATAGAAACTTGGTGAAAACTTCATTTGTGTTACAAATTAAAGTAAACAGAGGATAAATGGAGAGGTAGTTCCTCTTTTCAGAGAGAGCAAATTTCAGTTTCAATAAACGTGGCTGCTTTCATTACGACTACGGAGTTTTAGTTTTATTTTTGAAGGGTGTTTCTATGTGCCATAGACAAAATGAAACATCAAGAGTGAGGAGGTTTGTTTGTTTTTGCTTTTGTTTTTCTGTTGTTAAACTGAGGTATGCTCCCCCCTGCCCAGTTGTCTTTTGGGGAACAATCTGTGAAATCATCAAGGTCAGAGATTTTGTCTTATTCCTCTTTCTATCTTCAGTTTCTGGCACATGGTGGACCTTCAACTAACGTCTGTTCCTTTGGACGGTAAATGAATAACGGAACGAGCCATAGCTCCAGTATAGTTAATTTAGCTGAAAAATGACAAATGAAACAGTTCCGATACATGATGGCTGTTTTTGCTATGTTATTGATTATAAAGGTTTTTTAATGGAGATTACTGTTGAATTATCCAAGGAAGCATAGCGATGACTAATGAGATAAAATTAAGCAAAAGAAAAATATGAATCGAATATCAAGAAATATTTCCAGTAGATGAGGTTGGGATTTAATCAGGCCAAGGAGTCCCAGTGGAAGCAGTCGGGGCCATTTGCCACCGTGCATGTCGCTGAGCTGCAGTGAACTCACCCAGTTTATAGGGACAGACCTTGACTCTGGCAGGATGATGAGTGACATTGTGTTTCCAGTTTCACCGATTCATTCTTACACGGGTGTACATTCACAGCCTCCCAGTTCCTATGGAAGGAATTTGTGGATGTGTTACATTTTCTGATTATGGTTTTCTTTTTTCCAGAAAACAGTCTCTCTAGAGCATCTCCAGGTGCCCTCAGAAATGTCTTCCTTAAGTGGCCGAGTCCAGACTGTTTTGGGACCACTGGAGCCAAGCAAACTGGGCCGCACGCTGACCCACGAACATTTGACCATGACCTTTGACTGCTGTTACTACCCGCCGCCTCCGTCTCTCGAAGCCGCCTCGAAGGAACCTATTAGGATGAAAAATTTGTTTTGGATCCGGAAAAACCCTTATTCCCATAAGGAGAATCTGCAGCTGAATCAGGAGACAGAAGCCATCAAGGAAGAACTGTTGTATTTTAAAGCCAGTGGCGGAGGGGCTTTGGTGGAGAACACGACCACCGGGATCAGCCGGGACGTGCAGACCCTGAAGCGGCTGGCGGAGGAGACCGGCGTCCACATCATAGCGGGCGCCGGCTTCTATGTGGACGCAACTCACCCTCCGGAGACCAGAGCCATGTCCGTGGAGCAGGTAGAAAGCCTTGTTCTTTGACAGTATCTGGACAGCATTCCGCGTAGCCAGCATTCGGATGTGGGATTATCCCCACAGGTGATCTACATTTGGAAATGTCACTGGCTCCCGGGTAGCTGGGCGTTCTGTAGAGGTAGCGAGGACGCCTTCCAGTTGAGACCCTAATGAGAACCGCTTCGTTTCATAAAGAAAAAGCCTTGGGGAAGAGCACTCACCGGTTACTGCACAACCCAACGTGCTCATGCTTAGATCCGTGCCCGGTCTGTCTGTAAACCTCCGTTTTTCATGATAAGCGTCAGTTATGCAACCTCAGTTTTGTTTCTGGATTTCATAATAACCAGCCATAAAAAATCACTGTAGGGTGAAACTTGGCAGGCAGAGCCTTGGCACATTTGCGAATCTGTTTCCTTCTTTTACAAAACAGGAGGAGTGGAAGGAACTCGATCCCCTGTTTTTGTCACAGATTATAAGCAAGATTGGATAGAAGAAAGTAAATCTGTCAGGGACTAAAAGAACAAATAAGCTGCAGAACTTCTGAACATGTGTATGTGCTCTATTTCTAGACATACATGTGTTTGTACATATATGTATATATTCATGTGTACCTTCCATTGCCTGCTTGATAGGCATAGCATGTCAGCTGCAGTTTTTGCAAAGACTCAGTTAATCTTTAAAATACTTTGTATTTCAAAACTTTATCTGCATTATTTTCCAATCAGGCCTTTCCCTTTAAAAAAATTTTTTTGTTGTTGTTCTTTATTGATTTTTTAGAGAGAGAGGAATGGAAAGGGAAAGAGAGAGAGAAACATTGATGAGAGAGAACATGGACTGGTCACCTTCAGCATGCCCCCCACTGGGGATCTGGCCCACAACCTGGACATGTGTTCTGACCAGGAATCGAACCGGCAACCTCTTGGTGCATGGGTCGACGCTCAACCACTGGGCCACACCAGCTGGGCAAGCCTTTCCTTTTTATATTTACATTATTTGAGGGCTATCATGATGTCAACTATTAGTCTTCCAACTACTCTTAGCAGTAACTATATATGTGACCCCAAAAAATGTAATATTAGTATTGTGAACTGTGAATTTTCTATGCTGTATATGATAAAAGAATGCATAGAGGGGAGGATTAAAGAATTACTTGATACAATTGATGTAGATTCAAGGGCAGATTTTTTATGTCTAAATGCTCCTCAGGTTTATATTATTGATTTTTTTTTCTCATCTGAATATATTTTCATTAAGTCATGTTTTCCCCCCATAGCTTCCTAAAGCTATACATCTCTTGTTAAAAAGTTACGGTAAAATGTGACTGAATCTTTGATTTAGAATTCCTTGTTGAATTTGAGATTTGGCCAACAAAATGGCTTTCTCCTTGACCAATATTAATTAAATGAATGCTGAATACATTTTTGAAGAATGACTAACTAAATGAATAAGTTCATTAACATACCGTGGTAATACTGTGTTGAGAAATTCCACAGTCTATAACATGTTTTCGTTCCCACCCTTCCTCAGCTTACTGATGTCCTCACTAATGAAATTCTCCATGGAGCTGACAGAACCAGTATCAAGTGTGGCGTTATTGGAGAAATTGGTTGCTCCTGGCCTCTGACCGAGAGTGAGAGAAAGGTTCTTCAGGCAACAGCTCATGCCCAGGCTCAGCTTGGCTGTCCTGTTATCATTCATCCTGGAAAGAATCCAAGTGCACCCTTCCAGATTATCCGAATATTGCAAGAAGCAGGTGCGGACATCTCCAAAACAGTTATGTCACACCTTGATAGGTAAGCAGATAATGTACAAATTAATGCAAACCTCCAGGTGATTACAGATGATTAGATGTGGGCAAAATAGCTGACTGTATAAGCAGATGTTGGTTGGAGTTAATCTTATGAATAAGCCTAACAGTGTCGCAAAGGCTGCACATTAGCCTTTGCATTGAATTGATGAAGGAATTAACACGGTATCAATGTGACTAATAATACATTACGGTTACTTCTAAATTAGGATTCCTGGATATGAGGATGTACCTTTCATTATTTTCTGGAAAACCTCAGCCCTTGTCTCTTCAAATATCGCTTCATCCATATTTTCTTTATATTTGCATCATAAACTCCACCTTGATATATGTAGGATCTAATTACCTGTCCTTGTCTCATAACATCTTCTTCATATTTCCATCCATTTTCTTCAATTCTATCTTCCTATTTACTACTTCTCTTTCCAGCGAGAGCAATCTGTTGCTTAGACTCTCAATTAGGCTTATAATACTAAAAACTATAGTTTTTTTCTTTATTTCTATAAGTTCTATTTGTTACTTTTCAAATCTGCTTGGTTAATTTGGACACATTTTTCCCCCTTCAACATATTTTCAACTCAACTGTTAAAAAATATTATGCATACAATGTTTACCTTATTATTAATAAGTCTAATTTCTATTGTCTTTTTACTCTACCTTTCTATTTTTTTTTATTCTTCTGGCTCTTATCCATGTGAGGTTATTTCCTTGTATTTAACAAAAATTTTATTGTGATCTTAGATTCCTTGGAAATTATTATGAGTCCCAGGTTGAGTGTCACCCCTCCCACCCCACCCCCCTTTTTTGTTGTTTTGTTTATTATATTTCATTAGGGGGCAATACTAACCTGGTATTACTTAACTAAAATTTTTTGAATTGTATAAATTGTGGTAAAATACGTGTAACATAAAATTTACATCTCAGCCATCTTGAAGTGTGAAGTTCAGTCATGTTAAGTACATTCACATTACCGTGCATCCATTCTCTGGAATTATTTTTATCTTGCAAAACTGAAACTCTGTACTCATGAAACAACTCTCTGCCCCAGGCCCATGACAAACCATTCCAATGTCTCTCTTCACGCAAGGGACTGCCCTTGGTACCTTCGACAGTAGAAGGATGAGGTATTTGTCCTCTTGTGACTTTTAAAACTAAACTTTGACTGGAAGGGTTTAGAGCCACATGGGCACCATGACTCTGGCCCCTACTTCAGTGGGTGCAGGTGTGTGGTTATGGATCCCCAGAGGGGACCTTTTCCCAGCCTGCCTCCCTCCACCAGAAGACAAGACTAAGAAAGACATAATCTCCAAAGAACCCCCACCACCACCACCACCAGTGGGCCAGTTTTCAACTAGCCCATCCTCATGGGTGTTGTTTTTGGATGACAGGAATACTCCCCTTATGTGCAGGTGGAGGCCGTGTCGCCAGCTTGTCTCCTGCCCTGTTCTGGCCCTGGCTCTCTATTGCGGGCCCATTAAACCCCCAGGACAGGGATAGTTCTGGGTTTCCCCTCACTCCTCATTCTGTCTGCTCTGTTGTTTCTGCCCCCTGAGCAAGTCCTTTACCTTCCAACCAGCTGAACCAAGCACTCAGCCCCCTCCCTCTTCCTTGTACTCAGTATTTTACTTGTACTATCCTGGGAAGGTCTTCTGTAAATGTTTAGTCTGCCGTACTGCCTGAAACTGGTTTAAAATGATTCTTAAGGAAGAATCTAGCGCTATCTATTTATAGTTAGACTTGTAGGTAAATTAGAAAATTATGCTTGGCACTAATAGGAAATAAGGCTCCACTGAAAATTATAAAACAAACCTTAACTCCTAGCACAGAATTTTCTTGCTCACAGACTCAAACCCTATACACACACACACACACACACACACACACGCATGCGCGTTTTCTTTTAAACAATAAAGCTGTGTTCTCTGATTTTCACTGGCTGCCACTTCACGTCCCCCCTCTAGAATGGCTCATGATGGGATGGAGAAATTGATCTGACATCAGACAAACTCTGAGTATCACAGAAAATCCTGAGGCCATTTATAGAGCAGCCACACCTCCATGTCTATATTAGGGGCTTTTCAGGGTTCCAGTGTCTGACAAAGAAATATATAGAAGTATGAACATTTCACTGGAGAGGCAGCTGGGGGAAATGACTTTAGAGAAAGTAGCTCATTTGGAAAAACAAATTGAATAAAGTAACAGGAAAAAAATTCAGGGAGGCAGATGTAGGCAACTTTAGCTTTTCGATGCGACTGTTCACAGCAAGACCATAGCCCCGCTGAAGTTGACTAGGTCAGCCTTTCACAGACTCTCGGAGGTCTGCTGGGCTGCACACACAATCTGATCTGTACTGAAAGGGCAAGAGCTTCAGCTTTTGTAATGGGGACAAATCACAAAAGGGCATGTATTTCATGCAACTAAATGCACAGAAGACACACAAAGAGGAAAGCATCCTGAAAACGAGGCCTCCAGGAAAAACAACAACAACAGAAAATCATTTTGCTTCTCCCACCATGTTTTGTCAGGCATAAAGGAGAAGGTTCTGAACCCACAGGCTGTTGTGATTGCGAGGTAACAAGTCAAGGTGCTGGCTGGGCCCTGCAGCCCCTTTGAGAACCTGGGCTTTCCGACAGGGCTGACGCTCAGCCTGGACTACCTGTAAAGTTGTTCATTTATCCCCCTTCAGGCAGGATTTCTTTCATTTAAAAATAAAAAATAAAATGTTCCAGGAGGGCCACATCACATTGAAATAATTAAATGTTTTTGAAAATATATAGATCTTCACTAGCATTCATGCATAATGCATTTTACCCTAAAATTGCATGCACACACACACACAACCACACACACACACACACACACACACACACACACACACCAGCAGCAACAACAAACTGCTGTATGCCTGTCCAAAAGGAGCATTTAGGACCTTGACAGGAAAGAGTTAATGAATGGCCATCACCTTAGGACACCTCTGAACCACATTGTTGTCATGTGACCATTTGTGACCTGCTTAAGGTCATTTACCTGGAGATAACAGCCTGACAAGATAAATCTGCTTCTGTGTCTAGGCCCTCCCCTAACCATCTGTTCTCCTTGAGAAATAGGGCCTGTGGAACTGCCCGTGGACGGCTGTGAGTTTAATCCTCAGGAACCTCACAGGGAGCTGCCCTTGACAGTTACAGCCACCCAAAGTCAACATTTATTGGCAAATAATACCAGCATTTCTATTCCTGTTCGGGCTTTTCATTCACAACAGCTTTATGCCTTTTAATCATTTATTATAATTTTACTACCTGTTCAAACTCTAGCCACATTTCCAGGTGGCTTATCCTTAATGTGCTATAGAGTAGCTGTAGGTATATTTATTGCAACACAATTCTTTCATTACTGAGGAAAGTTGGGTAAAATAACCTGACCAGGAAGTATTTGGGTATTAATTACATTTTGAGCACCCCTGCCCCACACCCACACCCCAGGAAGGCACCAGATGGGTGGTATGCTTCAATCTTTTTTTCTGCTTGGTTCTCTATCTAACATATCAAGGGGTTTTGCCCAGCTGGTGTGGCTCAGTGATTAAGCATTGACCCAAGAGATCGCTGGTTCAATTCCTGGTCAGGACACATGTCCAGGTTGTGGGCCCGATCCCGAGAGGGGGGCAGGCAGGAGGCGGCCAATCGATGTTCTTTCTCATCTATGTTTCTATCTCTCCCTCTCCCTTCCTCTCTCTCTAAAATCAATGAAGAAAACAAATTAAAAAACAAAAACAAAAAAACAAATCAAGGTGTTTCGATGGAAATCCAGAGCCTAGAGTTTGAGGAGGGACACCATGATAATTAAGTTTAGGAAAATACCACTTCTATCTGTGTAAAGTGTTCCCTGTAGAAGGTCAAAGAATTTGGGGTTTCTGACCGAGGAGAAGGGAAGACACAGATGATGAGCTAACAACACATTTTATCCCTTTACCCCTGATTATCTATGTTCAGTCTACCCAGCTCTTCAAAGGCTCCAATTTTGAAACATTTTTTCATGCTCTTAATTAGATGGTATAGAATAGCCCTTCCCTCCTCCCTTCCTCCCTTCCTCCCTTCCTCCCTCCCTCCCTCCCTCCCTTCCTTCCTTCCTTCCTTCCTTCCACAAATATTTATTGAATGCTTAGTTACCATAAACCAGACACAGGGAGGTAGCAGGGAGCAAGACCCATCCTCTGCCTTCAAAATGTTTATTTAATTATGATTATGGTGACTCTTAACCTTAAGGTTGTCCTTGAAAAGCCACACAAAAAGTGACTATCTGGTATCCTTGGAACTGTACACTTTTAATTTCCATGAATACTAGTGAAATAATATAAAATCATTCAAAAACAAATATTTGACAAACTCAAGTTCAGCAAAACATCTTTATATATCTAAATAGAATGGTAGTACTTAAAAAAAAAAACAATTGCATTGTTATGCACATGAAATGGTTTAAACATTTAGAATCCTGTGCGCGCGGTGCTGTATTTCTTCACAGTTTATTATTAGGACCGTGTATATGCACGCATTGTGTGCATGAGGTATAGTATGCAGTGCAAGAAGTGAGTGTGCATTGTATCATATGTGCGTTGTACACGTTAAGTGCAGCAAAAACAATGTATCTAGTCATATTGGCACAGATCCAATCACCGACTGAGAAATTAAAGAAATTAACTCAGGCAACAAAGCAGAGAGGGCCCTGAAAAGCAAGTGCATTTTTTTGTTCCAAGAAACTATTTACTAATAACACCTCCTTTTTCCCATTTACTAATGTCCACTGACATTTCTTCTGTTCTCACTATGGCAGATGAAAAGAAAATATTAAAAAATGGATGCTTTTAAACGTGCCATCATGGCTACTTGATGTACTTGGGCACGACTAGACCAAATGTCAGGTAAAAATCCACACTGGTTAGCAGAGTCCTCACTGACGGGAAACACAGACCTTGAACGCCTTTCAGGGTGAAATCGTGTGATGATGTCGGCTTTCATTAACACTACGCTTCCATTAGCGCCATGTCTAGTCTATGTCTCTGTGCAACAATGAGAAATAGGGGGCGTTGGGGTCACGATGTCTAATTCCAGTTTTGACACCAGAACTTAACTTGCTGTGTGACCTCGAGCAGGTCACTTAATCCTCCCAGTCTTTTGCTCAAGTGTCAAAAGGGGTTAAGAAAGATTCTTTTTAACCCTTTAAACGTTATGCAAATCTTTCCCCATTATTGTTTATCTTGGACTTCTTTTCAAGACAGGACCTATTTAAAAAGAAAATCCAGACAAAATGTTTGACAAACTTAAATGGAGCAAAGCTTTGCAATGTGTATAAAAGTGGCAAATAAAATGCAATTAAGTTATGTTTGTAACTGATGTTTGTTGAATATCCCAAATTGCATGCTTTAAAGGAGACGTTTGGGCAGACCAGCCCTCCGTCGGGGCCAACACACACGCTGGTCATTGTACTCACCATACCCTCCGCTAGTACTTTTTTTCTTCTAAAGCTATTTTTCACGACTCTGACACCATTCCCATGAAATGTGACATTTTAACAAATAGGATCGCCATGTTTATGAGATTTATCTTCCCTCTCCTCAATACCATCATGCCTCGAACTGTGTAGTGCCTGACATGAAAAACGCAGCCTCCTTTGTGCTATGTGGCAGCTGGAAAGTTCAGATGGCAAAAAGCTCTTCCTCGGGTGTATAAGCACAAAATGCATTTAAAAATGAAGTTTTAATTACATTGCACGATTCGGAGCCAACTTGTAGTTTTAGTCTAACGCAAGCGCGGGTCTCTGCTCTCGCGCCCCTATGTTCCTTTTGCTTAAGCCCGCGCTTAAGTCATAATACTGAAAGTGTGACATCATCTCTTCCTGTGATGTCAGTGAGCATCTCGGAATGGAATGGACCTGCGCCGTCAGAGAACTGAATAATGCAGGTGGAACATGCTTATTCAAATATAGATAAAGAGAAATAAATACATGGCAATCTGATTATTTTTCTAGTGTTTTTTATTCCCAGTTATTCTCTAATATTGAAAAGACTGTTCCATGAAGGTAGTGCCTTGACACAAAAAGAATCTTATAAAAAAGATTAATGAATCTTTAAAATACCTACATAAATGGGGATAAACTAGCGTGTAATGTGAATGCACCCTTCTAATTGAGGGTTTTGAGTCTGTGGAAAACCTCAGTTCCTGGTAAATGTTTCATTGAAGTAACAAGTTATACTTTCTAACCATAGACAATGCTTAGGCCATCATTAAAAACATATCATTCTATTAAGAAGTTTCTATTTTGACTTTCAAGTAAGTTAATTAAAATTTATCATTTAAGAATTTTTTGTATTTTATCTTAAAGATGGAACAAACTGCCATTATCAGTGTAAGATGTACATGAGCAGTGTTTTAGAGTTATTTAGATTGTTGTAATTTATACATTAATTGCTTTTGGACATGGCATTATAGATATTTTAAAATTCGTTTCAGTTTATTACATGAATAGTGCTAGGTGAGTTTAGTAATGCTTTTGAGTAGTTGTTGAAAAGCTCATCAAATAAAGAATCCCACATAACACTATCTGTATAGACATCCATTGGTTTTAAAATGAAGATCAATGGAAAGAGGTGGTAAATAATTTTTTATAATAATAAGTGATTGAAATTCAACATTGTTTTTAAGAAATCAGTTGTCTATGAGCATCTATTTATTATTGTATTTGTATAACAATTTAAAAATTATTTGGTCAAGTTCATACGTTTTAGCATTGAATGTATTGTGCGCTTCTACCTGCGTGAGGCCCTGAGCTAGTCTGGCCTCAAACAGAGCTGCCCCCGGTGCTCCCTCTCCAGGCCATGACTTCACAAATTGGCATGGCTGATGAATCACAGCAAGGTCACAGTGTCGTATAATCCACTAGACAGGAGCAGAAATACCTGGGTTCTTGATCACTTAAAAGATTCAAGCTTTAGTTTCTTCACTTATGCAATAACATTAACATGTGGCATAATTATTTCACCAGTTCATTATGAGTTTCAGAATGTGGTCCTCCCAAATTCTTGGTCCCACTTCCGGATGCCAATATCTAATCAAGTGCCCCAGACAGGTCCCTGATGCTCCTTCTCCAGCTCTGTCACGTTGGGCACAGGGCCTCATCGCTTACTCTTACTCTTTCTCTTGCTTGCCCTATTCCAGTTAATGACATTATTGACACAGGTGTCAGCTTAGATTCCTCCTTCCCCTCCCAGTACCTGCATGTGATAAGACCTGTCTACCTCACTACGATCTCAGAGGATAACCCCTCCTATCCATCCTCTGTTGTTAACTTAATTCAGGCCCTTGTCTGCCACCTGAACTGTTGTAATAGACTCCAAACAGGAATCACTCCCCAGCCCTGCTCCCTGAGCTGGCCTCCACACTGCTACCATCAATGTGTCCAAATACAAATCTGATTCCTGTCCTTCACCCGGACTTACACCTCTTCAATGGTTCCGCTTCATCTGCAGCACAATATCCACACGTCTTGGTCATCTGGTCCCCACTCATCCCGCCATATCCTTTCCCGTTATCTCTGTACAGATACAGAATTTGGGCTAAAGCCACACTGACCATGACTTTGAGTGCCCTGTATTGATAGTCCTTACATGCTTCTCACACAAGCTAGTCCCTCGGCTGTGAACGCCCCATTCTGTGAATCTACTTGACAGTCTTTCTTCAAAATGCAGCTCATCAGTGGTTTTCTTTTCTCCAAAGCTTTTCCTAAACAAACCAAGCAGTGCTTGCTCTCTCCTGCTTGGTGCCAGCCCGGCTCGAAGGAGCACTTTCATTCTCCTGGTCAGCGTGGGGTGCAAAGCAATTCGTTGTTTCCACGTCTCTTTTCTCTAATAGACACTGAACTTCTTGAAGGATGGGACTGTGTGTTATTTGTTTTTGTTTCCTCAGCTCATATCTCATAGTAAGTAGATGGTCAGTACTTCCTTACTGGATGGATACATGGATGGATACATCCTTCGTTCACTTTAGCTCTGACTATTACATCCTTATCTTCAGGAAGAACAAGTTTTTGTTTTTGTTTTCGCCTCTCAACGGTTTTCTTCTGTTATCGTCCATCCCTCACTCAACACCTGAACCTCACCAACTTTTATCTGAATAGTCTTCTTTAAGACTCAACTCTAATGAGTCACTCCTTTAATTATTCTTTCATAATACTTTGTATTTATTTGTACTATAAAAACCTTTTGACACATTTAATTGTAATTATTAAATTATATATCTGTCTCTTTCCTTAGACTTGAAGTCCCTTAAGACAGCAGTTTAAATTTCTTACTCTTATCTGTGTTCCCAGTACAGAGGCTAGCACAAGGAGGTGATAGTACAAGATAACAGATGTTTGGTGAATTAAGTCATGGAGGTGTGCTTGAATGTATGAAATGGAATAATATATTTGAGAGTTTTTTTTAAAAAATTTGTTTTTCTTTATTGATTCTTAGAGAGAGAGAAAGGGAGAGGGAGAGAGAGAGAAACATTGATGAGAGAGAACATTGATTGACCACCGCCTCCATGGCTCCCACTGGGGATTTGGCCCACAACATGGGCATGTGCCCTGACTGGGAATCAAACCGGTGACCTCTTGGTGCATGGGTCGACACTCAACCACTGAGCCACACTGGCTGGGCTATTTGTGAGTTCTTTGAAATGGCAAAGCCCAAGACACATGTCAGGCATTATTATCATCTTGATCACACCCATGAATCACATCCTTTCCTCTACTTCTTAATTCTTTCTAACCAGATCGCCCACAGACCCTTGTCTAAATGCTTACTCCACACAGTCTTCCCTGCTCTCCCTTAGAGTGCATTTGACATTAAACTAAACCCCTCAACACTTGGATAAGATCTGGAATATAAAGAGGTAAGAAAAAGAGAATCTACTGTCCTGCCTTTGAGTACCAACTTTAAAACACTGTTAAATGATAACCATATTCTGAAAACAAAGATAGCCAAATCACTTAGATACCATTTTCTTGACTAATGGCAATATATTTGTCATAAATTAATGTCTGTTCTTTATGTAGACAGAATTTGTTTATTAATTGAAGAGCAAAAGTATAAAACATGAAACAGGAGAAATAATATAATGACAAGAAAAAATATTTGATACAAAAATCTCACCTTCCTCCAGGGAAATTGTAGGCTATTGTATCAATGACATTGTAGTCACTTCATGCACCTTGAAGAAGGGACTTGGTCCAGTGTGGAATGAAGGAGCTGTTCTGCATCTCACACTCACCTCACTGACTGTTTAGGACAAGAGGAGAAAAATATTTACCTTAGAGGTGGGGAGGATTGGAATATGAAAGAATATAATTACTCATGGACAGAGAATATAGAATGAGCAGAACTGGCTGAGGTTGACACTTACACTTATGTGAGAAGAGCTTTGAGATCATTGATGTCTGGGAGGGGCAGGACCTCTGTTTAATCCTTATCTGAAAAACGTCAAGCAGAGTACATTTTCCCATGATACCATTCTGACATCTGGGGTCAATCCTTTGTCCAAGTGAAAAGAAAAAAGTTGCAAAAATGCAACTTCAGTAGCACCTTGACATTCCCTGGAAGTCATCCAACTGAGTGTCAGTGTAATGTGGTTAAGTCACCTTGTTAGACATTCATGGTGCGGGATGCTCCGAGATGTCTTTGCGATGGGGCGGATTTCTCCATACGTACGTGCTGGTGAGAAGAAGAGGCTGTGCCACCTAAGAGCTTGGCTTCTGAAGACAAACGCAATCTGGATCTATTCACAACTCCTCGACTTTTCTGAGATTAGTTTCCTCGTCTATAAGATGGGGACAGTCATACCTTTCTCAAATAGTGTTTGTGAAGATTAAATGAGATAGGGCTGCTTGAAACACCTGATGATGATTAAGTGTTTATTATTCTTGCTTCACCTACTTCTTCCATCGTACCCCTCATTAACATCTAATACCAAATTATTTTTTTCAGGACTTTCCTATGAAATATATGCATGATCATTTCCCCCCATGGGTTTTGCACTTCAGTAAGAAGGATTTAAATGAATTCATTTCTTAATTTCTACACACTAATGTTCAGTTATCCAGAGGGTGTCATATCATTAAATGTCAGTAAAAAATAATATTTACGTATACGTACCTACATATCCTGAATTTAAAACACATATTTTTATTGATTTTGAGAGAGAGAGAAAGAGAAACATTAATGTCAGTGGAAAATATTGATCAGCTGCCGGGGATCAAGCCCACAACCCAGGCATGTGCTCTGGCCAAGGATGATGCCCAACCAACTGTGCCACACCAGCAAGGGCTATCCTGGATTTTTAATGACAGCACATGTGTCTGCCTCCTTTTAACTGCATTTTTCTAATGTCCAAAACATCAGCTTAATATGCTTCCCTTCTGAGGAAATCTCCTCCCCTATATGTGACTGTAAAATATTTAACTGTTTTACCAATGGACCATTTCCCTCAAAGTCACACTCCTTTCTATATGCTGTTCTACAAGACAAGAATTCCGAGGGGTTACTCTGGAAACTTACATATGTAGATGAATCCTATTGAACATGTTAGTCTTCCTCTAGAAAGATATCTCTACCTATGGTGATATTCTTCAGATAACACTGATAATATAAGTAGCATTTATATATAATTGACATCTGGCGATTTGGTTAACGACATTCCCCACTCCTCTCTCAGATGAGGCCGTTGTAAGAAGGCATCCAAAGAGACCAGGCAGGGCCTCAGGGGCCACTGCAAGGCCCCGCCTTTTTCTCTGAGGAAAATGGCAAGCCATTGGTGGGTGCTGAGCAGAGGAGAGACCTGATCTGACTTAGGTGTGGGGATAGGCTTTGGTTGCTATATTTGAATAGACTGTAGTAGAACAAAGATGGAAATAAGGAGAGCAGTGCGAATCGAGTGCAGAGATCCTGCAAGAGATGATGGTGATTTGGACCAGGAAGGTAGCAGGTAGGTAGTGACCTGTCTGGATTCTGGTCATCTTTTGAAAGTTGAGCCAAAAGTCTACCTAATAGTCTAGACGTAGAGTATAAAAGGAACAAAGCAGTCAGGATAATCACAAGGTTTTTGGCCTGAGCAACTGGATGGATGGAGTTGCTATCCACTGAGAGAGGGAAGGGTTTTAGAGCAGCTAGTTTAGGGTGGTAGACGAGGGGTCTAGTCTGAGACATTTTAAACTTGAGTTGTCTATTGGACATCCAAATGGACATGGCAAGCAGGCAATTAGACATGCAATTCTGGACTTCAGGAGAAAGACAGACCCTTAATATGTGCTCCTTAATATTTGTAAGAGGCTTAGAGCAACATTAGGCTCCTAGTAAGAAAATAAGCAATGGTCATGATTGATACAGTTCCTTCTCCTCCTTTGATCTTGTCATTTGAATTGTCCAAAGTAACAGCAATGGTCAAACCCTGTTAAATGTAGTTACCCTCTGAACTAGCAATTAAGTATCAACATAAAGCAATCCTTCCTTACTCTGGGGGTTTATCACCCTCTTTGATGGTAAATTCCCCATTTTTCAAGTGCAATTTAAAGTTACTGTGGGGAGGGAATTAAATGTCAAAATAAAAATTAAAACACATGATGTGCACAGTCAGTGCAATTTTGGAAAATGTCCTTTGATTACAGAATATTTAGCCATTGAAGAAGTCACATAGTAAGTATGATAGTTAAGAGAGTAGATTCTAGACTTGAAATGAATTTATTTATACTTCAACATATCACCTTGAATATCTAATATCTCAAGTCCCAGTTTCCTCATCTGTAAAATTGAGACCTGAAATGACTGTGGAGAAGATTGAATGAGATAATGAATATAATACACAGTGCTACACACAGTAAGTTCTTATAATTCTTAGCTACGATGATGATAAGCAACTCTACCTTTTATTTTAAGTTGGATCTAAGACTATTTTTCTATGGCTTTATATTTACTATGGACTTTTCATTGAATATGTTTCTCAATATACCACTTAAAATGTATAAAACCTTCAAAGCATTATGCCAACAGAAAGGAAAGCTATTAGGAGTAGAAATCAGAGTCTGATCCAACCTGTTGTTGACATTTTTATTCTCCTTCTGCCCCCTCCCCAGTCCCTTGCCCATATTGGTAATTAACACACGAAATAAATGGACTCAAAAGGAAAAATACTAAACTTTTCTATTCCCCTTTATGTTATTGTAGTTGTGTATATTTTGTTTTTATTCATGGTTCTTTGCGAGGAAACAGAATAGGTTTACCATAGAAAAACACATATTCTTTTAGCCTGGTAATTACAAAAGCAGAAGATGGTCTCCATGGTAAGAAGATGGAAAAAGAGTAGTATTAATTGAAGATAGCACAGAACTAATGCACATTTTACAGTATGAAGGAAGACTGTTTCAGCCTCCCTGCCAAAACAACACTGTGAACTCCAAGTTATGCTAAACTGAATAACAGGATAAAGAAGAGCCAGCTCCAATGTGATTGCTCAGAGGGAAGGTCAGTAGTGAACTATGGGAAGCATCTCAGCACTGCAGGAACCTGCATGCGAGAAACACTGAGGCTTAACTGGTCCTCCTATGGTTCAGAAGAAAGGCTTTGAAAATACTTCTGACCTCTTAGAAGAGATTTATAGACATATAATAGTGCTTTAACCCTTGCGTCCTGGAGTTTTCAAAGTAATAGTATATTAGAGTACATCAAAGCCTAATCAGACAATGATTGTCTGACATCCCAACTCTTCTCCAGGCTACTTTTGGATCCCAAACAATCATCCTTTTCCCAGGTCCTTAATTACCTTTACACATGTTTAATGGGGTGTGTTTTCCCCTCACATTATTTCCATATTCATTGTCTCTTGGTAGAACGTTTCTTTTCTTTCTTTCTTTCTTTCTTTCTTTTCTTTCTTTCTTTCTTTCTTTCCTTCCTTCCTTCCTTCCTTCTTTCTTTCTTTCTTTCTTTCTTTCTTTCTTTCTTTCTTTCTTCTTCCTTCCTTCCTTCCTTCCTTTCTATTTCTCTATGTTTGAACTTCTACCATGCTTTTTGGGTTCTAACTTAATGCATCTCTTTTTGCTTGTTATAATCTACATTTCTTGAGATCATTTACCCTTGCTCCAAACTTGAAGCCTCTGTCTGTTTCCTGTACTTATCTTACATTTTTCTCCTTTCCCATTCATTTACAGGGTCTTGCAACATAAAGCTGTGATATTCTTACTAAGATCTCTTTTATTAAGAAGATAGCCACAAAAATCAGCATAAAATAATAAATAGTATTTAAAAAATAAGCACACCAGAACATAAATATCTATAGGAGTATTGCCCCTTTTTAATATGTAGCAATGATGTTCACATAAGCTTTGAAATTCATTTTGGACCTATGGCATGATCGTCTCAAGAAACTGATCCTCTCATTTTACCTGAGCTCCAGATTTTTCCAGATCAGTATTTACTCACCTAATTCGGCGCCTGATGATAAATTTCCTGTGATAGTTTCCACAGTTCACAGCAATCTTACTAAGGATTTTCAAACATATATGGACCGTATCCTGAAGACAATCCTGTAGGAAAGTTACAAAATTGTTTTTGAGTAGCCCTGGCCAGGTGACTTAGTTGGTCGGAGCATCATTCCCTACACCAAAGAGTTGCAAGTTCAATTCCCAGTCAGGGTGTGTATGGGAGGCAACTGATAGATGTTTCTTTCTTTCTCCCTTCCCTCTTCCCCTCTCTCTAGAATCAATAAAAACCTATCCTTACAAGGATTAAAAAAACAATAAAATAAATGTAAAAGCCAAAATTGTTTGTGAGTATTGGCACCATAGTTAAAATGTCCATAGTTCCCAAGTACTTTGAAAGGGAAAAGTCCCTTTTGGATGGGTAAATTCTCTGAATTCTGGTAACACAATGAACTTACTATTTTATAGTCACATCATAAGAGCCCATTCAAAAGTTCTGTTACTTTACTTAAACTATGTTCCAGTACATAATGTGCTTAAAACTTTTCATCTGTATATGTGGAAAATAGGCCATTGATAATAACACTATGTCTGTCTTACTGTCTCTAGGACAATACTGGATAAGAAGAAACTACTGGAATTTGCTAAACTTGGCTGTTATTTGGAATATGATCTTTTTGGTAATGATCTCCTTCATTACCAGTTGAACCCAGATATTGACATGCCCGATGACAATAAAAGAATTAGAAGGTAAATATGATTCAATCTCTCATGGCGTTCCCTTTTACCAGCCCTTTTGATTTTCACATCTGGGTGGGTATTATTAGCAATGATTCAGAAATCAGTAAGCAGGCAGAACCAGGGACTTTCAGAGAAAAATATATCAATGCTGTTTGAGGGAGAAAAATCTCTATATATTATTGCAAGAAGAGAATGAGTCATCCTAAGTAGGCAAAAGCTTAGCAGAGCCCTGGATGTTCAGTGCAGATGGGCAGCTGACAAGAAACGCAGATAACATAACTCTTGCCATGACAACAAGAGAAAAAAAAACATGTTTTCCTCTCTTATGAAGTAAGATGTTTCTTTCCCAGGTTGAACACACTCAACACATAACTTCATACAATACATTTTGGAAATGCTTTATTAAAAGTATTCACTGAAGAGCTGACTGTAATTGAAAAGCTATAAGTATAATGTCTAAAGACCAAACATCATGTACAATCTAACATTTCCAAGTTGGCAGTGAACGCAAACTGTACATGTCATCTGTGCCACTAAGTGAAAAAGTTTGAGAGTCAAGGATGAGTGGTTATCTGGTTTATTTTAGTTGCATGGTGATTTGAACATCAAATGCAGCAAGTTAGGGGACCTAGGAGAAGAAATAGATTTGAGATGGAAAAGGATGACTTTTGGCTGGGAATATCTAAGTGTTGCTATCCAGGGGGCCTTGAGTAAGAGTGGGAAGCTCAGGCTAGCAATCTGAACTGAGTCATGAATGTAGACATCATTGGTGCGTATGCGACAGTTGGAAGAGTGGGAACAAGTAAGGTCACTAAGAGAAGAGAATGAGGCCAGAGCCCTGGGGAACACACGCATTTAAGGGATGGGCTCAGGAACGGTCACTCAGGGACAGGTAGGGAAGTTTTCAAAGTGATAAGAATCTCAAGAAAATACGTTATGATGGAAGTTGATGGAGAAGAATACTGAAAGCAGAAGGGCTTGATATCAAGTGAGGTAAAGACTGCAAAGTATCCACTGGATTTCAGTCAAAAGGTTCTCATTTTACAATCAGGGCAGTCTTGGTGGAAAAGGCTTGAGGAGTGAGTGAGAGGTGAGGAACAGAGAGAATGTGGAGGTTAGTCTTCCAAGAAGCTTGGTAGTAAAGGGAAGCCAGGCTGTAAGGCTCAAGCTAGAAAACCAGACAGGTCAAGGGAAGGTTTTGTTCGGAGCGGAGCGATGTTAATGTAGCCGAGAGCAAGAGCAGCGAGACAGAGGATGAACCCGGGGAAGTCAGTGGTTCCTACTCTGCAGGCTTGTTCCAGAATCTATAGGAAATACAGTCCACAAAGTTTTTAGCTGAAGGTCTGGGGCAGAATATGGAACTGGTCAATTAATGTTAACTTTTAAAAATCTGAGATGGAATCTGGGAGGCAAATACAAAGGTGGTTAAAGGAGGCACACTTTCTCCATCGAAATGAGGGGAGGCGTACTGGGGTGAGAACAGATACATCTTAGAGTAAGGGCAGGAAACTGAGGACACGTGGCCCCGCATGTTTTCTGGGGTGCCTGTGGCAGTCATGTCCTGAGAAAGAGGGTGTAGATTTCGGGCAGAACCTTGTAGAAGAGGGATGTAGGCTGGGGAGGGATGTCAAGTGGATGAGAGGGAGACAATTAGGAATGTGATGTGTACAAGACGCAGTTGAGGCTAGAGGTCATGACTGCATGACTGTATATTGGCACCGATTCACACATGATTTGGTGGTTATTTTCCCAAAAAAATGTTTTATAGTGTGGAAGTTGAACAAAGAAGCTTTTTGAGTAGAAGCAAAAGAAAAAAAAAAAGTGAACAGTTAGATCAGGGGTTGGGATTCTGTCACAAAAAATGCGGTTGAGGATGATAGCTAGGGCTGAGATAAGGGTCGTGAGGTCCAAGCTGGAGGGAAGAAAGCATAAAGAGGAAAGGGGCCCTGGCCAGTTTGGCTCAGCGGTTAGAGTGTCGGCCTGCGGTCCGGAGAGACCTGGGTTCGGTTCCCGCTAAGGGCACGTACTCCGGTTGCAGTTTGTCCCTGGCCCTGGTTGGTCGTGCGGGTGGCAGCCACTCGATGTGTCCCTTTCACGTCGATGTTTCTCTCTCTCTCTCCTTCCTCTCTCTCCCTCCCACTCTATCTGTACAAAAAATGAAAAAAAAATTTAAAAAAAATAAAAAAATTAAAAAAAAAAGAGGAAAGGGAAGATATGTCACAGGGGCCCGTAACTGGAAGCTTTAATGGAGTGGGTGCATACATACAGTAGAAGAGGGCGAGTGAAAAACCAGAAATATGTAACTGGGGGTCAGAGTGGGACACTTGAGACTGAAACTTCAGAGAGGAAGTAGTGCTCCATAATGACAAGGACCGGAAGATGGTCACAAGCATAGGAAACTGGTTGGAATGGAAGAAAGCAAAACCGGAGTAAAGATGTCATGTCCAGAAAGTGTGAGGTTCAGGTAGCAATAGTTACACATACGCACACTGGGGCTGAGGGAAGGGTCTTGAGCCAGTGGCCACAGCTGGGACAGGCTCAGCATCTGCCACTGGGCAGTCGCCCTTTCCATCTGTACGCCTTTCTGCTGTCCCTGTGCATCAGCACTCCTCTCTGATGACCTCATTCACAGTCAAATACGCTTCAAGCTCAGTATCACTAGAGAAAGTTGTTGATCAGTGGTACACTCGTTATGTAAGGATGGAGAGGCTCAGCTCCGCACGGCGTACTCCTTTGACTGTCCTGGCCAATGAAGCTATGTCTGTTCTTAAAAATTTTTTTTTCTTGCCCTGGCCGGTTTGGCTCAGCGGTTAGAGCGTTGGCCTGTGGTCCTGAGAGACCTGGGTTCGGTTCCCGCTAAGGGCACGTACCTCGGTTGCAGTTTGTCCCCGGCCCTGGTTGGTCATGCAGGTGGCAGCCACTCGATGTGTCCCTTCACATCGATGTTTCTCTCTCTCTCTCTCTCTCTCTCTCTCTCTCTCTCTCTCTCTCTGTTCCCCTCTCTCCCTCCCACTCTACCTGAACAAAAAATGGAAAAATGTCCTTGGGTGAGGATGATAAAAAAAAAATTTTTTTTTTTCTGGTCCTGGCCAGTTTGGCTCAGCGGTTAGAGCGTCGGCTCGTGGACCAGAGAGTCCCAGGTTCAGTTCCCGCTAAGGGCACGTAGCTCGGTTGCAGTTTGTTCCCAGCCCCGGTTGGGGTCATGTGGGTGGCGACCACTCAATGTGTCTCTCTCACATTGATGTTTCTCTCTCTCTCTTCCTCCCTCTCTCCCTCCTGCTCTACCTGAAGATAAATGCAAAAATGTTTTTGGGTGAGAATAAAAAAAATTTTTTTTAATTTTTTTTCTTTATTGATTTTAGAGAGAGAGGACAAGAGAGGGAGAGAGAGATAGAAACATCAATGAGAGAGAACATCGACTGTCCGCCTCTTGCATGCCCCCCACTGGGGATCAGGCCCCCACTGGGGATTGTGCCCTGATCGGGAATCAAACCGGTGACCTCCTGGTGCATGGGCTGATGCTCGACCACTGAGCTGCACCAGCCAGGCAGGTCTATTTTATTTTATTTTTTACTACTCAAACTAGTTCTTTGATAAACAGATTTATTGTTTCATTTTTGTTTATATTGTTTTATGTTTTTAATTACTGGCTCAGGAACGTCATTCAATACTGGCAAACAGGTTTCCCTAGGGCCCTACTAGCTTGCGCCATACTCAGAGGTGAATATTGTCTGGAATTTAAAATGGGGTGGTATGGTAGGACTTTATCACCGTTCATGATCTGAAAACCATGACTTCCTGCTGAATAACCTCAATCCATATTTTACAATTCACCTTGGAAATTGGAAGATAGCTCTTAGGACCTCCTTCCTTTGTGGCAGCTGTAGCTTTTGTACTCGATGCCTTCCACAGGCTCCTAGACCTTCTGGAGTGAGACAGATCTGCAGGGGGGTCTGTGAAGGAGGTAGTGGGGAAGGGTGACCAACAGCTCTCCCAGTATGCCTCCTTAGCATATTTAATATCCTTTTGTCTATTAAGTCAATAACAATAACTTAATTTGGTCAGCTTTCACTGTACCAATTGTAAACGTTCTAGATATCTGAAAATACATAAAAAGTATGTGTGTGTGTGTGTGTGTGTTTATGTATATATATATATGTATGTACACTTAATCTTCCTTAAATTAAGACCACACATTAGGTCACTGTCTCAGTTACAGCCCACAGTAATGACTGAATGAACTTTTGGATTGTGTGTCCCTTGTCCCCACCTCTGGGACACCTGGTTTTGTCAGTCGTTGGCAGGGCTTCCCCGAGCCTGGTAGTCATAAAGCCCTGAAATGCAGGCACGGAGAAGCACGCTTCTGCCTACCTCTGCTTTTCAGCCCCAGAAATTCTGTCTAACACCTGTTTTCAATCTTCTGCTCCATTTCTCAAAGCTTATTATATCTCTGCCTTTTCACACTTTGTAGGCTCTCTCTAATATTTGTTTGCAAAACACTAACTCATTTGTATTTCTATAATTACTGTGATTTTTTGTCTTCTCATCTGTAGTGGTGCATTCCTTCTGGCGCATCGCTAGAACTACCGAGCTTCCTTACCGTCGCGCTGCCTGAGAGCTGTCTCCCGTCAGCAGTGACCAGGCAGTTTTCTTGATGGGATATCCTTGTGTTTCTAGAGCCATAACATTATCTTCCTCATGAGATAACTAGTCTCCAGATCCTTGACTTAATGAGTTCTAAGGGTTCCCATTTTCTTTTTTCTTTTCTTTTTTTTTTTAATCCTCACCTGAGGACATCCTTTTGTTTATTTGTTCAGATAGAGCGGGAGGGAGAGAGAGGGAGAGAGAGAGAGAGAAACACCGACGTGAAAGGGACACATCGAATGGTTGCCACCCGCATGACCCAACCAGGGCCGGGGACAAACTGCAACCGAGGTACATGCCCTCAGCGGGAACCGAACCTGGGTCTCTCTGGACCACAGGCCGACACTCTAACCGCTGAGCCAAACCTGCCAGGGCTAAGGGTTCCCATTTTCAAATGAGTATCTTATTCATTATAGTCTTTCCTAACTACGTCACAATTCAAAAAGTTTGTGTTGACATGAGGCTTCTTACAGGAATTTGTTTATCTCTATGATATGCCTCTCTAGTAATGAGATACTACTTTTTCTTTTCCTTGGGGAAAGCATGCCCTGAAGTTTCCTGTCGTGATCAACTCCTTTTCATTGTGGATCGAGGACTGTCACTCTGACTTCCAGCATTGTGGATGGTTTCTGTGAAATCCTTTTCTTTTTCAAAAGGGACTGATAATTCTTTTAGATAATTCTCTTAAAGAGAGTTTGTTCCAAAAGTATCTTCAAAACTTTTGGACATTACACAAATTTTAAAGAGGCAAAGAACTGTGGTGGCACAATTAGCATTCTGTGTACTGATACAACATGCATGGGCACACATGGCAGGAACACAGAGTTCCAGGCAAAATGCCCAGGCTGGCTCCTCTTCTCTGTCACTTGGATCCCTTTGACCTGCAAACACAAGACCTAATCTTCAACTGTAATGTATTTTAAAAGGTATGTTCTCAGAGGACAGGGCTTTGTGCTTGAGTTTTTTGGTAGCACCTCACGTTTCGCTTACGGTAGTAGTTGTTCAATATGACCCATGCACCGAGAGGCCAAGAAATGCTATTGAAACAAAAAGCATGCCTAGATCCACTTGGGAATCTAGAGACTGACAAGACTATAAGCAAATGCCAGGGAAGAGCCACGGTACCCAAGTTGCATCTCCTGTCATCAGAGACCCATGGAAGTCACGACAGACACTGCCTGAGTCCGGACATGTACAGATGGTGGCTGTCAGGAGGTGACTCATGCTTCAGATTACAGCGTCAAATGTTTAGACAATAGCCAGGAAGCCCTTCTTTAGTCAACTGACTATAAATTTAAAGGAATGGCTCATTATTTACAGCAATCTTATTGAAATGCAAGGAAGGAAGAGTACGTTTTTAGTGGTCAATTTAACCGAGTGCTCTGACACTAAGTCAGAATTCCCACAGACTTCAGAGGATAAATGCTTCACACATAGACACACCACTACTGACCTTGAGAAAGGGCTGTCTGGCTATCAAATGCCCTTCACTTCCAAACCAACCAATTTCACTCTCAGAATGTTTTACTTGTACGAAGATTCCTTTTGTTTCCCTATTTATTCACAAATAGTCATTGATGTTATTTGCTAGAGAAGAAGGAGAGAGCCTGTGATCTGAACTAACGGGCCCACCAAGAGAGGCAGAGAGGAGAACCGGCTACAAAAATGTAGAACAAAGTTCTTTAGTGAAATGCCAAAGTGGCCATTCACTCAAACTGGCACCTCCTGTTAGAAGCTATCTTTCATGCAGTATTGCCAGGCATTGTCCTTAATATCAGAGGCTAGACACTTCTGAGTTCGTGGAATAAGGATCATGTTCCTACCCAAACACAGCAATGCCTTCATCATCACCACGCAGTACTTATTTAGGGTCTCCCAGTACACCTGCCACAGTGGAAGGAGGGATCTCTACGACATGCACAATAGGTTTATGAGTAAAATGTTTAAAGAACCCTGAACGTTGTAAATGTGAGAAGTGCCATGTAACGCGTTAACATTGTTCACAGGGTACGTCTCCTGGTGGATGAGGGCTACGAAGACCGAGTTCTGATGGCCCAGGACATACACACAAAGCACCGGCTGATGAAATACGGAGGTCACGGCTACTCTCACATACTCACCAACGTTGTTCCCAAAATGTTGCTTAGAGGTATAACTGAAAATGCAATTGATAAGATACTAATAGAGAACCCTCAGCGGTGGCTAACTTTCAAATAGGATGGTTATAAAGTCACACCTTGAATATACAGCTTACAGAGGGTATTCAGTGATTTCAACCACTGTGAGATATTAATTAATCAGAGCGACACAGGACTAATGATGGACCATTTCCTTTCTATGAGACTTAGACGCACGTTGTCTTCTCAGAAGCTGGGCTCTTACATCTGCACCTTTAGGGAGTCACTGAGCCTCACTAAACCCTATTGCTTTGCCTTTAACAAAATAAACACAGAAGGTGCCTACTTCCAAACAATGATTTACAGTCGGAATCCCTTTAGTGAAGTTTTGTTTTGTTTTCTTAATCTATCAGCTGCCCTACTTGAAAATTTAAAGCGTTTTTAGTGACATTACCCCCTTCTGGAGCAATCCAATGTTTCTTGTAATATTGATGATCCTACTAATTATCCGGCTGTTCTTTAATTAATGCTTAATGAATAATATGGCACTTTAAAATAGCTTCTTGAGCAAGGGAAGTAAAGTTGAGATTTTTTTTTCCAATAGATACTGTAAGACAATTACCAATTTACAATGGTAAAATATTACATGCTGTCCACCTATCTATATATGGAATTATAATAAATCATTGTGTTACCAGTGGCTTTCTGGCATCCATTTTTACTATAAATTTTGTTGTGCTTTGAAAAATATGTCTAAAGGGGCATGAACACATAACACTGAATTATAAAAATTCAATCATAAAAGCCAAAATATATTACATAATATACTTTAATGAATCATTACATTTATAATAACAAAGGCCACAATTTAATTAATTAATATGTATAATGCAAAAAAAGAGAAATGTTTGCCGTGTGTGTGTGTGTGTGTGTGTGTGTGTATATATATATATACACACACACACACATATACATATATATATTCCCTTTATTTCCTTTACCTTTTCTTTGTTTTTCCTTGGGCCTAAATAGAGAAAATAATGCATATTTATCTGAAGAAGAGGTCTGGTTGATTAGAAATGACAGTGTGACCGCAGCCTGCTCTCTGAAAGGTCTCCAGCCTCCGCCCTCCTGGGAGCATGCTGGTGCCCCCCTCTTGGGCACGTACTAGTTTTTAAAAACTCTAAGGGTCCCCATGAGACTTGCAACCAGGGGAGCAGTGGGCAGCGGCAGCTCACCCCAGGCTTACCCCTTGAACCTGTCTCCAAGGCCCCCTTTGCTCGGACTTTTCAGTCCTCGAAGCAGCCCCGCCCAGGCTCCTTCCTCACTGTGGCTTTTACTCCCCAGTGAGCTGACCGCACCCCCCTAGGCTGCTTCTGTCCTGTAACAGTTCTCGAGGCCCAAGCAGCCCTGCCCAGGCATCCTGGTGCTGCTTCTGTCCTGAGCCCTTCCTTTGTTTCATTGTCCCCACCTTTAATAAACATATTCTCTAAATAAATAAATAAATAAATAAATAGTATCCAGCCCTGATGATTTGTGAAAATAAAGATGTGTAAAACTCTTAGTTGATGAGCACTGCTGTTTATAAATTAATATTTTGGTTGAATCCTCAGGATGCTATGTTACCTAAAAAAAAACAAAAAATAAAAATTCTACAAACCCTGTTGCCAATTTTTCTTTGATAAGTATGCATTGTTAAATAGAAATAAAATCCATTGCATCTTCTTTATAAGATATTTCATATATTAGGAAGGCCAAATAAAATTAGTCATTATTGTTGGTGAGTTGACTAAGTGTTTTTAACCATATAATCATGACAGTTACTCAGACTAAGGCATTTAAACCAAGCAAACAGCACCTTCAGCTGGGAACACCTTGCATAACTCTTTTGGAAAGGCGAGGTTTGCTAAATAAAAGATATCTCTGCGGATCAAAGATGATCAAGCTTTCTGTGTGTTAGAACAGAAAGTACCCAGAAGAACAAACCAGGACAAACTAATCCCTTTAAATGAAAACAATGCAAATATCCTTCACCAGTAAAACAAGCAGGTTTTCCATTCTCTGTTTTTGAAATCTACTTGTCAAAGAGTCTTCAAAAGGCAGCTGAGAGGGGACCAGATTTTTCACCGTAACAGTGGAAGTTGTCTGATAGTTAGGATGTATCAGCATGCATTTTTAATCTTGTTCTTAGTTTTCAAGAGATGGCTTTTGGCAGTGTATTTTAAACAGAGAGAAAGGATTTTCGCTACTCTCAAAATCTACTTTACTGTCAGCTTCAATCGACCTGAGAAAAAAAGAAAAATTGATAATTCAGATGCATACAATTCATAAACATTTCACAGGAGAGCCACTTTGTCTCAGTAATCCTGATGCTAACAGTCTGCCATGGAATGCAGTGAAAAGTATTGATTGGCAGCAGGTAATAGAGAAGCCATAGGCTTAATTTACAGACATGTGCGCATAGGGCATTTTAACCTAATGCAATTTAATTTTCTGGATAACTCTTAAAAGAGAAGTCATTTAAATTATTTTGCTATTCCATATATTTTTGTCATCCAAAATATATTTAAATCCAAAATAAGTCAAATAATTTATGTGTTTGTGTGTGTGTGTATGTGTGTGTTCATACACATATACTTTTTAAATTAAATTTTTGAGGCTATACCTGCCACTGTGCCTGTGGTCTGAAGCCATATTATATATAATATTTCATCTAATATATACGTGAGTGAATACACACACACACACACACATGTAGCAAGTATTTCTGTAAAATATATACACTTTGTTGTCATACTGGTTATATGTGAAATTTGTTCATTTTGAAATAACCCCAGGCCACGACTTACAGTGAGTAACTATTCGAAGGCCTTACTTAGCGTCCCCTTGGTGATACATGCAGTAGGTTAAATTAAACCTTTGTGCTTGGGCTATGAATACTCTTTTGTTCCAAAGAAGACAAAAGCCTCTGTCTGATTTAACACCAAAGAATAAATTTCTCTGACTTTCCAAGTAAATCTAAACACATTCTATTGACAAGATGGACACATAGGGGATTTTCTAAATACCATACATATTACACGTATTCACACTTACAGAGTAACCCTATGATACAGTGTCAATCGCTATTTTAAAAGACTATCACCAGTAAAGAGAGAAAAGGAAGTTCATAAGAAAAAGAAAATGGGAAAATAACCATAGGCTTGGGAATTCCCTCAAATCCAGAAAATTCCAGGTTAAGGCTTGAAGTTGAATCATTCCCAGTCTAGCTTCTAAAGTTCACAAGAGTACAAGGCAAACAATTTCTTTGGGGACAAGCAGCATTATTTCGATTAGACCTTCTCCTGCAGGGTAAACTCATTCCTCCCCACACTATGAACGGACTCCGAGTATCATAATAAGCAGGTACACTCACAAGAACCAAAGCTGACATGGATACGAGCAGCTGGATCACGGTACACCAAAGTATCATATATATTGAAGAAATAATTCAGTGTCTTAGATTTTTCTATAAAAATTTGTGATCTATATAGGACTTCATTCACATGGACACTAACAACAAGGAGTATTTGCTTTGGTGGTAGTGGATCACACATCTGCTTATCTTGTTTTTAATATATATATATATATTTTTTTTACATAATGTTTCTGAGAATACAGATGTGAGTCAGGTAGCATTTGAATTCCTCACATATACACAACCGAGGTGCCCACAACTGGCATTCCCCTGGGATCCTTGATTCACTGATGTTAGCCATACGAATCCAGTGTCCAAACTCAGAATAATAAGCTTAGTTTCTGCGTGATCAGTCCGCGTAAATGATAAATCCAGAGAATGTGCTGTATTTGTTGTTGTTTCCTCCGTGGGCTTTCCCACCATCTAACTTGATGTAGACTTCGTCCCCTGGCTCCAAGTGAAGGACCACGCTGTTACTGGCATAGTCATAATTCTGATCAGCATCCTGGGCGATGGCGCTAGCGCGCACCTGCGTGAAACAGACAAGAGTTAGAACGTGTGGGAGAGAAGCTTCCAGTTTTCTGCTGGGCCATTTGCACAGCATCCTAAGCCCATGTGCTGCCATAGCAGAGGACTGACACAGCAACGTCCACCTTGGCCTTGGAGCTTTCTGAGGATATGTTTGTAATGGGTTCAACTATGCTACTGGAAAAGGAATGCAAAGGAGAAAACAGTGCTTTCGTGAGGGTCATTCCAGCAGCCTTCCCTCACTATACGGTGTAAACAGCAGAGCTATTTATTCTCTTCCTAAATCACTACTTTTTCTAATTCTTATATCTCTATGCCCAATCACTTCTTGAAGTGGAAATAACAGTAATGTCTTGCATTTTTATTTACCCAAATAGCAATACTCTAAACAGCTGTTGATGAGCACATGAGTTCAATCCAAACTTCAGCTCTGGTCCGCATAATTATTAGAACATAAGATCCACAGCAGGTAAAAACTCCAAGAAATACCAACATGCTAACTCTCCTGTATAGGAGGTAAAAAAGAAGAAAGCCATTCTATTGGGGCTTTCAAAATCTAATTCAAGTAAAGCCCCTTTTACCAGAAGCTTAACTCTTTTAAACATGTTTGCTAATATCACCCAACTTTTCAGTGTTTTTTTCTTTTTCTATTTGTGCCTTTTGATCACGTAATTGTGCTGTGTGCAATTAAACAAATTATTTAATTTCAACATATGTAAAATTATAGAAGAAATGAAATTTCCATGATTTGAACTCTCTCAAATTACTAGCATTTTTGAATGATCTCATTTCAGTGATTCTAAACATGTGGTTTGCTTACTCATAAATCCACTCATGTTGAGCCTGTGATCTCATTAGCGAGTTGATGGACATTTGCAAACAGTCAAATCGCCTATCATATCAAGTAACATGGACATTCTGTCACATCCTCAACTCAAATTAGACTTCATGTCCATTTAGCTAGATTTTGATTCTGCCTTGGAAAAATGGTTCAATAGGCAGACTTGTATTTGATTTATTTCAGTAAAACATCTATTTTGTGGCTTGTTTCTATTCCAGTATAATGATATTTTCCTGAATAACACGGCAAGTGATTTAGTGGTTTTGTAAACCTGCGCTATGTAATAATGCATGACTTGGGGTACAATATGCCAGAATTTATCACTTGGTAAAATGAGAGAAATGAGACATAAGTCAAGCCTTTCCATGCATTTCTTTCAAAATGTAAATGATAGGTTTTCAAATTAAATTTTCATGTGGTATGTTCCCACATTAATGCTGAAATGTTAAAAAGAAGAAGGAGAAGAGGAAGAAGAAGAAGAAGGTTCTTTGACACCGCTGAACTTGTAAAGTCATTTGAGTAGTATTTTAAATTTTCTTTCTGGCTATCACATAGCAAAGGGAGAAAGGGCTGACAGAACTGAGGGTTCCTTAACACTGGGCTAACTGACAATAATATCATAATAGCAACAAACCACAGAATTATGCTCAGAAGCACTGACTGGAATGTATACACCAATTTAGTGAGGTGATCTGTTTTGACTATTAAGTAATAATACAACTTAATGTCATAATATTTCCTAGAAATTAATCAGAAGTTTGTAGGAGTTGAATGCTTTGATTTATTAATTTCGTCTAGTCATTCATTCCCAGGTTTAAAAAAAAAAATCTACAAGGAGGAAGGATAGTGCTCATATGACCCGATCTTTTTCATGTGTGGATTTTTAATGGGTGAGAACAATTAAAATCCAAAATAGTAATGCGCCATATTAGTAATATATTAATTAACAATCCCTAATATACTTTTCAGCTATTGTTAATAACCAGACAAAATTTATTTACTGCTTTAGGCATTTACAAAATGTTCCATGAGTATTATGCTTTAACCCTGTTTTCTATATGAAGGCATTTGGAACCCAGGACTGATTGAAATCATTTGATTCAGAGACAATAATCTTAAAAATATGTATAATGCAGTTTTTATTCTATAGGGTATAACCGCAAACCCATGTTATTATTACCATTTTTATTCAGTAGGGGTAACCACAAAAACCTGTAAATACATTGGTGTGATCCCACAGACTGGAAGGTACCCTGATGGTTTTCACTTCCTTTGTGAAAAGAAAGAAAAAAAAGCCAGTACGATCGCTTTCTAATGAAACTGATTCTCTGAGGTTTTAACCTATACTGTAATGTAAGACCTTCCCAACCAAATGGCGCCATACTCCAGTGTACTTTGTGTGATTTTAGTATCCCTGCTCACCTGGTCATACTCTTAAGCTGTAATGGCACTTCAAATTTCAAGCTCTGGTGTGTAGCTCAGTGACTTCCAACAATTCTTTATTTAAGCCATCAAACTATTGAGGAAGGTAATGCATCCACCCTGGAGGCTATTTTCAGGTTCCTAAGTGTACACTGATTTTAGTATTTCCTCTGGGAATATGATGCACCCTTTCCTTAGCTCAATATATCCATTTCTATCTAAATGTACTCTAATATCTTTTCATAAGTATTTAGATTCTGCTTGATCTTTAGTGCATGTTTCATGGCCCCTAAAAAGATAATTAATTTGACATTTATTAATCTCACTAAGAAATGAATATCAACCAACAAACTATTCACTGTTCCCAATATACCTCTTGTTCCCTGGTGCCATAAAAAATAAGTTCTTAGAGTAAAAATTGGTCTAATTATTTTATAGTTCTAATCTTGAGCCTGTTTAAGTTTTCATTCTGGTGGCTGGCTTAATTTTAGTAGAATTACAATAATTGTATTCAAATAGCAATATTTTTATTCAGGTTTTCTGCTAAAAATATAGAAACATATTTAAAATATTTTCTGTTTCTATGTAAAGCTATTGAGTCCAATTTTTCATTTTAATGTGCAGTGTCATGGGCTCTCAGCAAATGGGAAGATTAAGTTTAGGTTGATGGTTTCGTGGGGAATATGAGAACTGGGGTGCTTTCAGTGGAATGTTTGTGAGAACGGAATAGGGTGTATAGCTCAAGCATTATCATATTAGTAAGGGTTTCTCATTAGAGACGATATTTATGGTAACATTTGCTAATTTAATTAATTGCTACTGATGTTCTCGTAATTTCATTTTCATTGTACTTCTGTGGAATCATAAACGAAAGGTTAAGTGGCACATCAGGTTAATTTACTGGCCTTTGATGTTTCCATCTGTGATCCTGCGTTAACACAAAGCATAAATAAAATGTTTCTCATATGGTAATGGTCCAGAGGCATTCCTCTATGCTGGGGTGAAACTGTCTTTTTAGTGCAATTTTTGTATTTCTCTAATCCACTTAATCCACCGGACATTACACTGACATGGATCTCTGAGTTTCTGTTTTATGAAAACAAATTGGGTCAACTCAGAGGGGAAAACTGCCCTTCTACGAAGTGACTAGACAAGAGCAGAATTGAAAACCAAGGATACAGTATTTATTCAATAGTAATAAAAATGTTATAAGATTTCTCATCTACAATTGTGTGAAGACCAGACTTTGCAAAATAGTTCTATTCTAGAGATAAAATTCCTTCACAGTAATATTATAATAATCATTTTCCAAAATAGCCCGAGTTAAAAAATATATATATAGTTTGCTACGATATTTATTTTCTGAATTACTTGTTGCACACCTTTGCAGAGTAGCAGCTTCATAATGCCAATGGAAAGCATTATACCCTTAAGATCAGCTGTTTTGCCTTTGTTCTTTTCTTCCTGACCCTGAACGAATGTACACGCGAGGGCGATACGAAGGAGCATTCTCCACTCCGAACACTGACATCATATCAAAACAAAAAGCACAGAGGATACATATGTGCAATGGTTTTCTTGGAGTCAGTGTAACATACCTGGGCTCAGCAGTCTAGATATCAACATTTAAAGTAATTTAAATATATTGTTTCCTGGCTTTTCATGAAATTGCAATTTCCAGATATTAAAAATATGTGAGCACTTTTAAACATTGGCTAATTATACTTGACTGTTACTCCATTTTAATGAATACTTCTGAAAACAATCTCTTCAGCATGATATATTTTCCAGACTTAACCTTTGAGTCAGAAGATGGCCAATTTGTAAATCAATGGGTGCCTGGGCCAGGCCTGCTGAGGGGCTGTCCGTGAACCCTTTGTAAGGGCGACACAATAGCTCTAGGTTGGTACAGCGAGTCATGCCCTTTACAGCCATTTACCTGTAACTATCCCAGGGCCCTGCAAATAATTTTTATTTATCTTAATGTTATTTTCCCGCATAACAACTACAATAAACAACCCTGTCAGTGCCTCCTGGTGGCCATTTCTTCTCTTTTTGTTCGGCGAAGTCCTAAGTCCTGAGAGTACTTTAAGCTGTTTTCTTCTAAATTCCTTCAGAGGTGAGGGGTGGTGGGAAGGAAGAGGGGCGGGGTTTTTTTTGTCCTTTTTCTCTCTTATACATTTATGATATTTATCTTTTGTTTTTAAACAATTCTAACACTGAGTTAGGTTTTGGGAAGAAATCCAGCTTCAATACCGCTTAATGGAAAGCTGGGTTATAGCTAAAAAGGTCTGAATTCAAGGGGCAAGTGCGAAGCCCCACAGACCTGGTTCAATCAAAGTCGGCCGTGGCAGGATCCCAGGCCATTCACTGTGCCGCCTAAGTCACAGCCCAAGAACTGCCAGACTGCAGGCTGCAAGGCCTCGCCCCCTGTGGCCACTGGTTCAGCGTGTGCAGAGGGTCCCATAACACTTTCGGGCAATTACAAATATTAGCTTCGTCTTCTGACTAAGAGATAAGACACACTTTGGTTTTGCCATAACTGCGAATTTCTCCAGCAAACGGGCAAGTTGCTCCAGTATAAAACCGCAGCCATGTGGCCCTTGTGGCAGCGCCAACCAGCTCAGGAGAGCAAGTCCTCCTGGCCCAGGACTGATCCGAGGCTACCTCACAGTCCAGGCGAAGGCCCCTGCGGCCCTGCGCGCTAGAAGGCTGCAACTGGAAGGCCCTCCGCGCTGGTACCCTGGGGCCGGCCGGCCTCGAGGCCCCTCCTCCCGCGCTGGCCGGGCTCCTGCCCTCCTTTGCACCCGCCCTGCGTCCTAGGACCTACTCCAGAAAGTGGAGTTTGGGATCCTGGTTTACGGTGTAAAACCACGAGTCTCAACTTTTCCTTCTGTTATCAGCACTCATTACCTCTCCCCGTTCTTCTCCTTGGCTGAAAACTAAACCGGGTTTGTGTCTTGAATCGACTACACATGAGTTTTTCGGAGCTGGGAGCGGCAGGAGCCTTGAGTCTGCCGGTTTCAGGGTCCAGCTCCTCGGTAACCTTTCTTTCTTCCACCGGCCCTAGTCTTTCCCCCCGGGGGTGGGTTGTCGCCTCGGCACGCCCATTCTGAACTCCCCAGGCCCTGCCATTCCTGCCAAAGCCTGTGAGCAACGACCGCACAGCTGGGGGTCGCTCACTGCTGCTCCGGGACGTCCCGCACACCAGCTGTTCAGGAAACCCCGCTCCCGGCTTCCCGCCCCCCGGGGTGGCTCTCACTTGTGTGAGCACCGAGTGCAGGTCCTCGGCTCGGAACCGCCCTCTCGGGGCGGCGGGGAGCCCTCTTTGGTTTTCGACCCCTGAGTCCCCAGGTGGAACAGCGTACTCCTTCTCATTGCTCCCTGGGGCCCCGAGCTGCAGCGCCCTTTCTCCGCGGGTCCCCACCCCATTTCCGGGGTCTCCTCCCTGTCGCCCGCACCTTCCGCGCTCCTTCCCCGCCCTCTCCGCTGCCTGCCTGCACGCACCTGGTTGTTTTTGCAGAGATCAGCCCACATGCTGGTGCCGTCCCCACCGCGCATCAGGACGTGGTAGGTGAAGAAGTAGATGCCCGGGATAGAGCAGGTGAACTTGCCCGTGGTGGGGTCGTAGTGGTTACCGAGGTTGGTGACGACGTCGTCGAACTTGAGCACCTCGTAGCCTTCGTGCTGCCGCTTGAGGCCAGCGTAGAAGGCGATCTTGGGCACCGTGCTGTAGGTGGCAGCGCTGATGGCTCCGGCCGCGTTCAGGCCGGGCGCTCCCGGCGGGCCCGGCAGGCCTTGGCGGCCCGGCTCGCCCTTCTCGCCCGGCGGGCCCACGGGGCCCGGTGGCCCAGGTTCACCAGGGGGCCCACGCGGGCCGGCCTTCCCGGGCCTGCCGGCCTCACCTTTGGGGCCCTGGATGAAAGTGGGCAGGGACTGCATGAGGCCGCGGTCGGGCGTGGCAGCGGTGCTGGGAGCCTTGGTGCCCCCGTAGGGGTCGCAGACCATGCGGCAGGTGCCCAGCATCTCGTAGTGCGCCGACGTGCCGGCCGAGCTCACCAGCACCGGGATGAGGATGACCAGCAGCAGCACCATCACCACCCCCAGCGCCCCGGCGGCGATCAGGCGCCTCCTGCTGCCCACCAGCCGGCTCAGCGCTGGGCGATCCTCTTGTCTGCTTTTGGACAAAATTTTGAAGGTTGGGCGGGGACCTCTTCAGAGCCGAAAACAATCCCCTGCGAACCCCAACTCCCCTGGGCAGGCGTGCGCCGGCCGCTCCTAGGCTGCTCCTGCTCCCCCCGCCGAGGCTGCGGCTGGGGAGGGAGCTCGGACGCCTAGTGACTTGAGCTGAAGTCCCGAGCTGAGGGTGGGGGTTGGGGGAGGGGTGCGCAGTGCACCCTCTCGCCTCTTTCAAGCTCCTTCGCACCTGTGGCTGCCGATGCTCCGGGTGCCCACCCGACACTAGGAGGGCAAGCCAGCCGCTGCCTCTCCGCCTCTTGCGCTAGCCTGGGCCGCTCACACTTTTATGCCACTGCCTGCGATCGACTTTTCCGTTTTTGCAGACTGCGCCAGTTCGCACCAACTTTCCCTCTGAAGTTGCCTTTTTCTGCCTCCTTCTTTTCTTCTTGCGCTCGCTCTGTTCGCCCTTCCCCTGCCTTTTTTTTTTTCTTCCTTCTTTGCCACCACCACAACTCTAGGAGACGCGCACCCCGCAGACCCGCGCAGGGCGCGCGAGCGGGGCCGGCCACTCCCGGGGTGCGAGGAGGGGCAGGCACGGTCGCTCAGCGAGGCTGGGGCTGGAGCAGAGGAGCTAAAGCGGAGCTAAAGAGCGGCAGCGGCGAGTGCCTCGCGGCCGGGAGCCGAGCGAGAGAGGCTGAACGTAGAATTCTGCCTGGGTACCACCTGCCAGCAGAAGAGGAGGCTGAAAACGCGCGCCGGAGCAATTTATAGGCACCCAAGGCGCAGAGGAAGGAGAGCCGCTTTGGCATCTCATTGCAGCATCTGCTCTGCTCATCCCACTCAGGCAGACTTTGGCATTACTCTGACAATGTGGGAATTTTTTTTTCGCCCCCACCCCCACCCCTCTGCACATGGATGAACAGTGAGATCCTGAATACTCCCTTGCTGAACCCGGACGATGGCAGCGCTCTCCATGGACAAACGTGGAGGGTGAGGGAGGGGGACAAATGTGCAATAGACTTCAGAACTCAAGGGTCACACCTAAGTCCCCTTTGTCACGACTGCCAGCAGTTGGAAGGTGGAGAAGGTTGAAAGGAGGGTGGCTTGGTTGACAATATTTCTCTACAGGCTTACCCACAATCAGTGCTTCAGGTGTTTTTTAAAAAATGCCACTTTCAACATAAGGAGGGCCCTTTAGAATTTTCCAGATGGTAGATGTGTTGTTTTTAACCTTATGGTTTTCCTTGCCAGCTTTCTAAAATGTAATAAGATGTTGTTATTCAGAGGACAGTAAGGAGCGTTGAAAAGCCAAAGGACATTTCTCAATGCCTTTAAATGAACTCGCCTACCACATAAAGGGGGGGTGGGGTTGGTTCTTTTTACAAATGTTGCGAATGGTGAGTGTATACATATATACTCTACTTACAGGCTTACAATTCTAGTAACCTTTCGGAAGACACAGCCATTGGTTGCATTTACTTAAGGGTGCTGCATGCATGAGAAATGATCACTTGTCAAAATGCCTTCAAAGTCTTAAAATAAAGCAAGCAGCATTTACTAAAGTACTAGGCAAGATCTTTTCCAAAGATATGGAAAAAACCCTATAAGCTCCATAGCACACTTCCTGCCTGTACATTAGGGGATGGGGAAAATAGAAAAAATTTGAAAAAGAAGGGCCCATTTGCCATGGGAGAGCAGGAGACGGAACAGCCTGGATTTATATTAATGGGAAGCCCCCAGAGTAGGTATTAGGCAAGCTATACCACCAACACATACATAAGACACACAAGAACAGCTGGAAATAAACAAGTAGAATTGATTCGTAAATCATACTTTTGCATTCAGGAGCCATGGATGTCAATCAAGCAAGGGTGACATTTGCTTGTCAATACAGGGATGATGGCTGGGAAGACGGAGACTTATTACATCAGGGTGAGAATGTAAAATGAGAAGCAGGAACAAATAAAACTACAACAAGCGAACAAAACAATAACACCCTGGGTGATGATCTTGTCTGTGAGCTCCACAGCATGGACACCTCCTTTTCTGTTCCTTCTGCCTACCCTGATACCACCCTATTGGTTCCAGTCTTTCTCTCCTTCTTTCCAAACTACATAAGGTCACATAAGCAGGCAGAAGGAAACAAAGACTCATTGATTCTTTTAAGAGAAATGTCAACAGTTCCTGCAGGTCTTTCTGGGAGAATCAACCCTGAGGGTCGGGCAGTGGAGCTAAGCCTGGCCCAGGTCTCCACAGTATCTCTCAGCCTGGCTGCTGAGATACTTCTGCCACTGGGAGATACTCCTTCCCACTTCTCAAAACTTTCACTTTCATTGTTTATAAATGTGTGACTATGTCTTGGGTATAATTATAATTATATATCAGAATATTTCTATTCACATGTGCTACCTTATTTTCATATGTTTAAGCAGCAGACACATAGTTTAATTCTGTCCTGGACACAATACCTATTTCCTAACATCTTCCGGGTTGCTTCTCAAAAGTCACCTTTGTTTTGGAGGACAAAATGGTAAAAAAAAAAAAAAAAAAAAAATGGAGGACAAAGTGGTTAAAAAAAAAAAAAAATGTGGTGTCAGCAATGGAGACTTAATGTAATGAACTGTTCTCTGATAGCAACAAATTATCAAACTTCATAAAGCTTTTTATTGTTAAAGAGAGTTCAGTGGGGAATAAAATTGGCAATTTTCTTTTCTTTTTTTTTTTTTGGTACGTGTCCCTAGTGGGAACCGAACCCAGGGTCTCTCTGGTCCGCAGGCCGGTGCTCCAACCTCTGAGCCAAACCAGCCAGGGCATTGGCAATTTTCTAAAGGTAGAATTGTATAAACGAATTCTCATCAAAAACCTCAAGATCCACAGGATTTCCTCTTTGAAGAAGGCTCATCTCATAGGAACCCATCAAGGATAACATGAAATAGCGGAGCTGGAAAGGACCCTAGAAAGCCAGTCTCCACCTGTTCACTCTGCAAATGGTGAGACTGAGACACCGCGCAGAGCAGAATCGCCGCCCAGCGCCAGCGCAGCAGACTCGTTTCACTGCGCTTCACAGACGCGTTTGGTCCATAGTGACAGCGTGGGGCAACCACCAGAGAAAAGATTAGCACTTGCTGAAGGCGCACATAATGGTTAGTAAGTTTTAGCGATAAAGTATTTCTAATCAAGATATGTATATTGCTTTTGTTTTTTAAATAATTTTTCTTTATTGATTTGAGAGAGAGAGGAACGAAGAGGGAGAGAGAGAGAGAAATATTGATGAGAAAGAACACTGATTGGCTGCCTCCTAAATGGCCCCCACTGGGGATTTGGACCACAACCTGGGCACGTGCCCTGACTGGGAATTGAAACGGCGACCTCTTGGTGCATGGGTCTATGCTTAACCACTGAGCCACACCAGCTGGGCTGTATATTTTGTTTTTAGTCATCCTGCTATGACACACTTAATAGACTACAGTATGGTGTAAACATAACTTTTGTATGCACCGGGAAATCAAGAAATGTGTGTGACTCACTTTATTACAATATTCACTGTACTGTGGTGGTCTGGGAACCAAACCCACAGTATTTCCAAGGACGTCTGTGCCCTTTGCTCTACACCACAATATCAACACATCCCAGCCTGGCCTAAGACCTATAGCACTAGTCCCAGTAATCGAGTCTCTCCTCTTTCCACCTTCTCTACTGCCAAAGCAAAGCTTGATTTTGCAAGTGAGGGTTCTAACATCCAAAATGTCTGCTGAGATTTGGAAGGGTACCTCAGTAGTCTTTACTAAGACATCATCTCCCAGGTCACAGGCTGACCCCAGTCTTTCAGCTGAGCCACAGACCAGGGCAGTGCATGGACATGTGGTTCTTTAGTGAACTTTACATTACTGATCTCCTTCCTTTTCGCTAGAAATGTCCCACCATGCGTTTTAGAAGGAACATTTGCCCTCCCTCGGGATTTTCAGGGATTACTAGGTAGAAAATAAATGTATGGCCGGGTACTGCCACTTTCCACTGCTTGAATTTCTCAGAAGGTTCTCTGTACAGTTACTCATGCTTCAACCCTGATTCTGACAGTTTGAATAAACCATCTGATATGGCATATTACTCACCATCTTTATGTGTATATAATAATAGAAAATGTGTCGATTGAAAAAAATATTTGATTTTTTTCAGTTCTCATCAGAGAACCAAGTTCTCTCCCATATTTGATATTAATTTTGGAAGTAGGCCTTAGAATCTAATTTCCTTCACAGTACTTCCCGATCATTTCTCAAGCAAAGTCCAGGCCAGGTATTCCCACTCCTTCTGCACCGGGGCCTTTGGGGCCCTTGAAGGATAAAGTCCAATACAAAAGCCCAGGATGTGGGTTGGGTGACGATCCTGTTATTGTCACCTTCCCTGCATCATTTCTGTCTCTTTCGGAGAACGGAGCGGATTCTGAGCACACGACTCCCACATAGACAGGCACGTCATCCATTAATCTTCACTGAGCACCCACGGGCAGCATAGCTGTACACTGGGCTCTTCCTGGGCAAACAAATATTTAATCATGAGAATTATTTCCAAATCCAGCAGCACTTAAACAGAAATAGCATTTCTTATAACAGGAAAAAAAATTAACAAACTCAAGGGCTATCTACAGAAACAGACAAAAATTATTTTTAAAAAATGGGACTGGATTAGCTATTTCTCTTCCATGTCTGGGTCTCCAAATTGTATTTCAGACTAAACACTCCCTTTGACAAGAATTGTAGATTTCCAACTAGAAAGGGTCTGCATGGAGTTATGAAATCATAACATGAAGCTTTAAAATCAGATGGGTCTTCATTTGAATCCTATGTTCCTCATTTAGTAGTTATGAAAGTTACTAAATTTCCCTGAAACGTAATCTCCTTTTCTATACAATGGGAATAACAGTAATACTTAAATTATGGGGTTGTGGTGGTGATTGAGTTCAGGCATATCATTAAAATGACAACACATAACAAGAGCCCCCAAAATGTCAACGTTCATCTTAGCATATTGTAGGGGTGCTGGGCAGTGCATATGTTTATCGCTTGGATGGTAGAACACAGTCTTATTAAAGGAAGCTGAAGCTAAAGGGTCAGACTTAAGACAAAGGGTATCAAGTGGACCATAGGCATTGTAGACTTAGACAAAACTAGAAAGAACATAGAAGTCCTCCAGGAGACTCACCTATGGGTATTCTTCTATAAGATAAAACAAGGACAAAACTCAAAACAAGGATCACTTTACCATCCTCTAAACTCAGCAGTGGTTCTCAACCTTCCTGATGCCGCGACCCTTTAATCCAGCTCCTCGTGTTGTGTGTGGGCGTATCTGCATGGGGGCGGACCTGCCTGAAGACAGATAGAGGAGCGGTGTCTCGGTTCCTAAGACCATTGGAAATATGTATTTTCCTATGGTCTTAGGCGACCCGTGAAAAAGTCGTTCGACCCCCAAAGGAGTCGCGACCCACAGGTTGAGGACTGCTGCCTAAAGTAAGAAAACAGCTTCAAAGCAAGGTTGTTTCAATTCATTGCGGTTTAATAGACAGTTTCCGGATTCACAACCTAATGGGAAGCAATTTAACTTGCTTTTTGACCTCTGGAAAGTTCCCCAAATCAAGAAGCTGCAAGCATATTTAAAAATAACTGAAGTAGTCATTCAGGAATGGTTCCTGGGACTTTCAACAAAGCAAATACAGCAGACAGGACTCAGTACAGTCAAGCAGAAGAGCAATCGCTCCGAA